GTGTTGACAGTACGCCAGTGCCAGAACTGGTTCGCTAAATTTCGATCCGGCAATTTTGATGTCGAAGATGCACCACGTTCGGGAAGGCCGGTTGAAGCTGATAAAGACGCGATAAAGGCATTAGTTGATGTGAACCGGCGAATAACAACACGTGAGATCGGACTGAGGTTAAATTTATCAAATTCAACAGTTTATGACCACTTGAAAGGCCTGGGATTATCCTCGAAGCTCGATGTATGGGTTCCCCATGTTCTCACAGAGAGAAATCTGTGTCGCCGCATTGACGTCTGCGATTCGCTTCTCAAACGTCACGAAAATGATCCGTTTTTGAAGCGCATCATCACTGGGGACGAAAAATGGGTTGTATACAACAACGTCAAACGCAAGAGGTCATGGAGCAAAAAAGATGAACCGGCTCAAACCATTTCCAAAGCCGATATTCACCAAAAAAAGGTGATGCTGTCTGTTTGGTGGGATTTTAAAGGAATCGTTTTTTTTGAGCTTTTACCGGATAACACAACGATTAATTCGGAAGTCTACTGTCATCAGCTGGACAAACTGAATGATGCACTTCAACAGAAAAGGTCAGAACTAATCAACAGGAAAGGTGTAGTGTTTCACCAAGACAACGCGAGACCTCACACAAGTTTGGTCTCTCGCCAAAAGCTTTTACAGCTTGAATGGGATACAATGCTACACCCACCATATTCTCGAGACCTGGCACCATTGGATTATTATTTGTTCCGGTCACTCCAAAATTTTTTAGACGATAAAACCTTCACCTCAAATGAGAAACTGTCTTTCATTTCCACAAAAAAAAACGAAATGACTTTCCGAACAACCCTATACATTTATTCGGGGTAGAACAACTGGACAAAAAGCGTCTACAATTGTGTGTTCTCAAATATTTTTCAATAATTAAATGATAGATGAATTGAAATTATTCGATTTGTGAGATAGATATGTCCTCTTCGTCGATATTTCGATTACATAACTTTGATTAAATATCTGCTAATTATTTTCGCTAAAATAATATTCGTGTTTAGTCTGTTTTATTTTACGATGAAGTTCCAAAAATATGTATGCGTGTTAGTTCGCCTCTTCGTTCGTTGCGTGAGTTTTGTCCATTTTTCAACGCGACAGGTCTCCTAGTTAGACGAACAACAGGTTAATTTTGCTGTTTTTTCGTTTATTTAAAACATCATTATTAACGAGTGCATAGCCTAGATAAGTTTCTGCATATACTTAAAGGTAAGAGATTCACTCATAAACATTCCAGATAATTTCATGTAGGTGCATATATAAATAGTAAGTGGTATTTACAACATTTCATGGAAATCTATCCTCTTTTACTGAAAACTATTTCGTACATTCACCGCTGCTACTCTATGAATAGATTATATGTTTACAGTGAAACATTTGAACGTTTGAAATCAACGTTATATAGAAGTCGGTAGATCAGTTATTTGCTAATTAATTTTAATTTATTAGATATTTAAGTAAATTGTACGGAGATAATTTCCTTCATTTGCTTCTGTTAATAAATAATCCTATAATTGGTATTGAATAATTGAACAAATGAGGTTTTCACGTGATGGAATTCACTATTTTTAAAAAACTCACTTCATTGATCTGCACATGCCTCCGTGGGGTGAACTACACGTATGTTATCGTTTGTGTAATTGTCTAATAGTGAAGTTTAGTGATTTTCGTTGTTTATATATTCTATAATATGCTTAATTATGTGAAGGATTAATATTAGTGATACAAAACTACTGTTCAGATTTTCAATGGCGAACACAATAACAGGAATTCAGGAAATTTAAACATCCTGAGAATGAATTGAATTAAATTAACACTACATGTATAGAATTTGCTTTCTACGAGGGTGGATTGATAAGTTTCCGGCCTAACCAAGAGATGACGCCACTAGGCCTAGCTTGAGGTGACATTCTATAGTACCATCCTTGGATAGCTTGTAGCTATAGTTTCAGCCCGATCTCCTTGCTAGTGTAGGTTTGACAGCACGCTGAACAAGACGCCTCTGTGGTTTTCGTAAAAATGGAAAAGCAGGAAAATCGTGCTGTCATCAAATACTTTTATTTGAAGGGGTTAACGCCGAAGGAAATTAAAAAAGAGATGGACTCAACACTGGGGACATCCTCCCCGTCATATTCAACCGTTAAGCAGTGGGTTTCCGAGTTTAAAAAGGGTCGTGTGAGCACCTCTGATGGGCCTCGCTCAGGACGCCCCGTTGAGGTCACAACTCCAGATATGATCGAAAAAATTCATCAAATAGTGCTGGGAGACCGCAGATTGAAAGTGCGTGAGATAGCTGAGACCTGTAAGATGTCATATGAACGTGTGCAACATATTTTGCACCAACATTTGCATATGGAAAAGCTCTGTGCAAGATGGGTGCCGCGTTTGCTAACAGTCGACCAAAAATTGATTCGAAAAAACATTTCTACCGCAAATTTGTCATTGTATAAGCGTAATCCAAGCGAATTTTTGCGTCGATTCGTAACCGTTGACGAAACGTGGGTCCACCACTACACTCCTGAAACCAAAGAACAGTCTAAACAGTGGATTGGACCAGGGGAACCAACTCCAAAGAAGGCAAAAACAATTTTTTCGGCGAACAAGGTTATGGCTACTGTTTTTTGGGATGCAAGAGGTATTATATACATTGATTACCTTGCAAAGGGTAATACTATCACTGGTCAATACTACGCAGACTTATTGCAACGTTTGAGCCACGAGGTGAAAATTAAACGACCTCATCTGGCGAAGAAAAAAATCTTGTTTCATCACGATAACGCACCAGCGCACACGTCAATCGTTGCGACGGCTAAAATCAACGATCTAAAGTTTGAATTGATGCCGCACCCTCCTTACTCTCCAGACCTAGCCCCGAGTGACTATTTTCTGTTCCCTAATCTCAAAAAATGGCTTGGCGGTAAGAGATTTGCGGACAATGAAGAAGTAATCGAAGCTGTAAATGGTTATTTTGAGGAGCTTGACGAATCAGTCTATAGAGATGGCATTAATAGACTGGAACACCGCTATGAGAAATGTATCAGCCTTGGAGGAGATTATGTTGAGAAATAAAAAAAAAAAATTTTTAAAAACCTTGTTTTTCTTGGTCAGGCCGGAAACTTATCAATCCACCCTCGTATATACATATTTGTATGTTTCTATAAGGTGTTGTATTCATGTTTTGAGGTCATGTAAATAAAATGTAGATTTGCAATTCTGCTTACAAATGTTATTCGAATTAGAAAATACTACAAATGGCGCAGTAAACTATTTTCTAAAACGCACTGTTAAGACACCAGGTAAAGGTTGGTCTGTGTTCTGTCGGAGCTGCCTGCGACGCGCTGATGAGATCCAAAAAGATCGAAATCGCGATCCGCGTCTGGCAGTTTCGACAGAATACAGACCATTTCGAATTATGTTATTCGAATTTTTTATTAGTATCTACTTAATTTTTGAAACAATAAAAAGGAAGCTAGCTGTTTTCTTGGAAATTATTCCCATGGTACTTTTTAAGAGGTGCATGGGTCTATCATTCGTAAATGAGTTAACATCCGAGTCGATAATAAAATTTTTTCATTAGAGATGTTTAATGGATTTTAAGAAGCATACCTGTAATTGCATTTAGGAATTGCGTCGAGTGCTCTTTCCTTAATGCAATTTTTCGAGGAAGGAAGAAATCTACTCAAGAAAAATCCATAATGACTTGTGTGCACTTTAGCATATGCCTTATTGTAAACTTATCACTTACATACAACTCTTTTTATATTATTAAATGGGGATTAACCCTGCCTCAATGACGTTACTAACGAAAATATCTTCTTTTTTGAAAATCTATCTTAAAATCACTTAAGGTGTTGGTGAAAGAAGTGTATTAAACGTTTAAAAAGACACTTTAAGCATTATGATTTTATATTACAACCTAGACCATTTAAGCCCTGTATAGCTGCAGAAATTAGTGCTTTTGAATATTTAATTGATATAATGATTTGTATATAAATTACAACAAATTATTTTAGTACTTGATGGCTAGTTGCCCCATGATTAAGGGTGTGTGGGCGCATATACGGTTTCGGTTAAGGAGTTTAAAACACTTATTTTGTAGAGTTTAAATGGCTTGAGTTATTGGGGTTTTAAGATAAATCTAAGGAAGGGAGATCGTCCCTATCGGCCACCCTTGGATCCCTGGATCCGCCCATGTTTCTTATAATTGTAAAAATACACAAAATGGGTGTTTTGAGCATCTAGGCTGACTTCATTGAGATGGGCCTTATGCATACAAGTTGCTGCTGTATTCTAACGATGTAACGGAAGTGTCATAACGGAATATTCGAATATTCGAATATCTTGTTACAAATTTTGCAGTTAGCACTAATATCGTTAATATCAACAATTAAAATAATCTCAAATCGAACTCCTTTTTTTCTCCAAATTGTACTTTTAACTTAAAATTGGCACCACTGAGTAAACACTATACAAAGTAAATAGACGCTATAACTGATTAGCATTTTTGAAATGAAATAATTAGGAAAACTGGTTAATGGGAAGCTGAAAGTCCTGGACGCATTTAGATTAAAATAGGAAACTAATAAGAGAATAAAATTTGGAAAATATTAACATACGAAATACTAGGAAATAAAAGTAATAAATTTTTACGACTTGTTTTATTGTTCCAATACACTGATTTTGAAAAAGATGAGAAATAAGATTTTGTTAAGTTCCGATAAGCATCGGCTATAAAAATGCGAAATCAGATGCAGAAACGGAAATGAAAATGATTGCGGAACTTTCGTAATTGCGGAAGCGGAAGCAGAGGTATGTTGCAGCACTACTGCATTCTGCTGTTGTTATTGATTGTTTGTTGACTTCTAGATTAAAAAGTAGAAATATCCTATATAGTTATTAATTTTATTATTCACTATTGATGTTTTTATATAATTTGTACTTATTTTCTGTTGTTTCAGCACAAGTCGCACAAGTCTGTTCATCAACGTTCCCAGTCCCTGAACCGGGGACTTCGTGGTCACCAGTGGGGCAGTGGTCGGGGTGGCGGCAGCGACTTCGGCCACAGCGGCAGCGACATGTGGTGACAGCGGGGGCAGTGCCAGTGTCCCGCTGCCGCCATGGGCAACAAGCTCAGTTGCTCCTGCGCCCCGCTTATCCGGAAAGCGTACCGTTACGAGGATTCGCCGTGGCAGACCGCCAGGCGTCGTGACGGACATCTTTTACGGTAAAAACACTCAAATTACATTTACTGATAAATTAAAAAAAAAAAAAACGTATCAGAGTTTTATAGACCGCGCCAGTGTTGTAGATTGCCAAGTCTAAATTTTAGGGTTTCACCTCGTCAAAGATGAAAATTGACAACAAACACCATAGAAAGAGGAATATGTCCTTAATTCAACTTTCGAGGACTAAAAACGTTAAACAAATGAAGTTACTTGCTGATAGTGATGAACAAACTCAAAAGACCAAGTCATGGCTATTATATGTAGTCATGGCTATGGTCTTGCTTTTTGACGCTTGGTCTTTGCCTTTGCCTCTGCAAGTCTTATGGCAACGATTTACAAAAATTGTCTGTTTAATAAGCGAATAATAAAAAGCTGGATTTCTGATAATAACGCAATTTATTTATATTTACTTACATAAAATTTTTATTGAGTTACTTCAGAATATTTTGCAAGTGCATTAAAATTTAGGCGAAAGCTCTGTGGAAGAGAATATGCTTTGCAGTTGTCCTATCAGTGAAGATTTCTCTACAAAAATGTCGAAACGGCATTGTTCAACCATGTCTACCACACAATTGTTCCAAACTAACCGAACTCTTAAAATATTTAGAACATAACGTAAAAGCTTCAATATTGCATTTATTGGACGTACATTACTTTATTATTTATGTGAAAAGGTAGCTGAAGGTATTTGCATGAGCTTTTCTATGTACCGCGTTGGTCGATGTCACCCTTGCACATTAAACTGAGTATACCTAGATTCAGTTCTGAGCTCACCACTAGTGTATACCATGTGTATAATATAAACCTCAACGGAGTTCATAAAATTATGAATAAAATATAAGCAGTGTATTTTTAATTAATAAACAGTGAATTTCTTGTTTTTAAAAAATAAAGTAGATCAGTAGATTGTGAAAGGAAAGTATATATGGCTTAATCTTGTCTTATTTATCATTGGAACATTAGACAGCATTAAAAGACTTTTTAACTAAACACTGAACGTGTGTGAAAGACCTCTTTTATGGAAATTTTCACGCCTGAATTAGATTTCTTTCAAAACTGTTGGTTGATAACCCACATAGGTCACTGAACTCTGAACTCAAATTTCAAAAGCTCTGTAAACCAGGGCCCTAAAGGACCTTTACCAATTCACTAAAATTTGCTTGTATTTGAAAGTGAAATGTAGATTGTAGGCTTCACAATCAATTACCTCATACTTTTGACACGTTTTCAATATTGTTCAAATAAATAGTTTTGCAATAGAGGATTTAATATGAAAACCAAACTTAACACTGTAATTACTTCATATTAAGCGGTTGGTCAATATAGGCGGAGTCATTATAAACGAATTCCACTGTATTTCTGTTGTTGATAGATTTGATGTTTTCCGTTTCCTATTACTATTTTAATGAATATTGAGATTACATTGATCCCAGGAATTTATTCTATGGGTTTTTGCACATTGATGTATATTTGCTGTTGTGGGTATTTTTTTTTGTTGATACTTCGCGTATCCCATTTCGAATAGTTTCATCATCATCATAAGGTCGTCAATCCTAAGACTGATTGGACAAGTACCTCCACTCTTTTCTATCCTGAGCTAAACTTCGCATTTCCCTAAAACTAGAATAGCCCACATCCTTAACTATTTGCGAACAGTAATCTAATCTAGGTCTACCTCTACCCCTCCTAACTCCTGTTTCTGCCTCTAATATGTCTCTGACTAGACCTTCATGCCTGAGAAGGTGTCCTACCAATCTATCTCGCCTATTTTTTATTGACTTCCATAGAGTCCTCTGTTCTCCTATTCTTTCCAATACCTCTTCATTTCTAACCTTTTCTACCCATGATATCCTCATCATCCGCCTATAACACCACATTTCGAACGCTTCTAACCTTTTCTTTTCCGCCGCTCCCACTGTCCATGTTTCGCACCCGTACAACGCCGTGCTCCAAACATACACCTTTAACAACTTTTTCTCGCGAGCATAGAAGTGACTTCTTTTTATTAAAGGCGACACGACCCTGCGCTATCCTCTGCTTTATATCCCTACTACTCCTTCCATCCTGACTTATCTGACTTCCTAGGTATCTAAAATTAGACACTGTCAGTACCGCTTCCATTTTATTTAAAGTTATCTCTAGGTCCTCCTTGATAGATGCTAATACAGCTATATTATCTGCAAATCTAAGCATACTAATCTTTTGCCCTTGCACATCTATCCCTACAGTTGTACTGTCTTTAATGATGTTCGAATAGTTTACCATATGCATAACATTTAATACTGAATCATTTTCTATGTGAGTGATAAATAAATATAAATATTTTCTTCTGTTAATTGCAGATTATGGGCGGAAGTTTTCCATGTATCGGCAAGCGGTGCCGGTACGGTGAAATGGCAGCAAGTGAGCGAAGACTTGGTCCCAGTAAACATTACGTGCATCCAGGACTCCCCAGAATGCGTCTTTCACATTACTGCTTACAACTCGCAAGTCGACAAGATACTTGACGTCCGATTAGTTCAACCAGGTAATCCTGTTTGACAACTCACTAACTACATGTCGCACAGTTTTGCTATTTACTACTCTCTACTCGTTCCTTTAATGAATCCGTTGAGGGTCCTGTCAAGCTTCAATTGATTAACAAACCATTTGTTTACTTATTTTATTTCTTTTCGATATTTGGGTTCAGTACAGAATTACCTAAGCTCAGATCCATATGGGCAATCAGAAACTCGATTACTTCCTTAACAAATAAGGTATATTATAATTAGCATATTCACCAAGGTACTAAGACCGATTGGACACCCACCTCCAATTTTCCTTATCCTGAGGAAATCTTCGCATGTTTATGAACAGTAATCTAATGTGGGTCTAGAAAATACTACAAATGGCGCGGTAAACGCCATCTGTAGTGCTACACTTTAGGATTACGTATGCTCCAAGAAGGTCCATTTAAATATAACGAATCCCGGCGTAGCCAACCTCAACGTGATAGGCACGTTACCATAATCGAATAAAATAATTCGATCTTTTTGGATCTCATCAGCGATCCGCGTTTGGCAGTTTCGACAGAATGCAGACCACTTCGAATTATTATTTTATTCTATTATTTTAATGTAGGTCTACCTCTATTCCTCTTAACTCTTCGCGGCTTTTAATATGTCTCTAACTAGATCCTACCAACCTATCTCGCCTGTTTCTTTTTGACTTCCTTATATCCCTCTGTCTTACTGCTCTACTTAATACTTCCTTAGTCCTAACAGTCTCTATCCACGGTTATCTTATCCTTATCTTATTCGTCGGTATCTTTTCGTTTCCGTCTCGCACACCATCCACGCTTATATACATCCTGAATGATCTAAAACTAGATATTTATTGGACAAATTGTTTTATACGAAGAAAGGGAAATTACAAATAAACAGTTAAATAATTTTTAGTAGCTGTGGACTAATTAAAAGAAATAACGTAAAAGTTAATCCTGAAGTATATCGAGTGTAAATAGCACTTTTAATTTTAAGTTTTATATCTACGCGGTGATTTTTGCGTTTCTGTTAAATTTGACGCTAAAAGACTACTTTCCGATTAGAATTTGCTTTGAGTGACCGCAATGCGTTGTAAAGGATTAACATTTAAAGTACCAGAATAATTTATCCTGTCGTCAAATATAATTGAAGAGCATTCAACTAATTAACAAGTAACGAACCCTTGCGACATAAAAATGAGGAGAGATGAGTACGGATGATTTAGCCAATTTGCAAAAAGAGCACAAAGCTCTGAATAAAGCAACCTAGACTAGATATTATATACGTTGTGAATATATATTTAACATACGAATTGATTTGCTGTCAGGATTTTAACCAAAAGCTTTGTACTATTAGATAACAATGATAATTGTTGTTCTATTTTTGCTCTAATGAGTCTAAATAAAACTGAAATATTTTACTGGCTTTATTGATTCTAGTATTAAAAACTACTACTACCTGCAATTAGTTAAAACTCTAACACACCTGACGTTCGACTTAGTAATCAATCAAGTTTACTTCAAATTAGAAATTTATTAATGCAAATTTAAAGATAGTGGTGCCGGACACCGTTAAATCTTCTTTCGTTTAAATTAAAAATAAATTTAATACCAAACGCTTCCGAAAATATATTCAGTTTTAAGTAAGGAAAGTATTAAAATCGACTCACAGGTTTCTACGGAGAAATGATTAAGTTTTAATTTCTTTCCTTTGTTACAAGAGTTTACGTACAGTGTCAAAATCGAAGCCAAACTAGCTAATTGGGAGCTTATTTACTAAACGAATATCAACATTTCGAAATTTGATGTAAGGCGTTATAAAGGTAGGTTTTTAGAGTTAGTAATTCTCATTCTGTAGATGTTAAATATAATTAAAAATGTAGGGATGAATTACAAAGATAGAAGAGTGATACTTAGTTTGTATAAAGAGCAACAGGCAGTTATAGAGCTGGGGATGCAGCGTAGAGAAATAAATATTAGGAAGGGAGTCAGACAGGGATGCACACTGTCACCGCTACTTTTTAATCTATACATCGAAGACGCCATCAACATCATTAAAGATAGTACAACTGTAGGGATAGATGTGCAAGGGCAAAAGATTAGTATGCTTAGATTTGCAGATAATATAGCAGTATTAGCATCTAGCAAGGAGGACCTAGAGATAGCTTTAAATAAAATGGAAGCGGTACTGACAGATCAGTACTGTATGAAAATAAATAAAAGTAAAACTAAAATACTGGTATGCAAGGGAAGAAAAAATAGGAGAAGAGCGAATATAAAGATAGGAGACGAAAAATTAGAAGAAGTGGCTGATTTGAGATACCTAGGAAGTCAGATAAGTGAGGATGGAAGGAGTAGTTGGGATATAAAGCAGAGGATAGCGCAGAGTCGTGTCGCCTTTAATAAAAAGAAGTCACTTCTATGCTCGCGAACGGTTAATTTAGAAATTCGAAAAATGTTGTTAAAGGTGTATGTTTGGAGCACGGCGTTGTACGGGTGCGAAACATGGACAGTGGGAGCACCGGAAAAGAAAAGGTTAGAAGCGTTCGAAATGTGGTGTTATAGGCGGATGATGAGGATATCATGGGTAGAAAAGGTTAGAAATGAAGAGGTATTGGAAAGAATAGGAGAACAGAGGACTCTATGGAAGTCAATAAAAAATAGGCGAGATAGATTGGTAGGACACCTTCTCAGGCATGAAGGTCTAGTCAGAGACATATTAGAGGCAGAAACAGGAGTTAGGAGGGGTAGAGGTAGACCTAGATTAGATTACTCTTCGCAAATAGTTAAGGATGTGGGCTGTTCTAGTTTTAGGGAAATGCGAAGATTAGCTGAGGATAGGAAAGAGTGGAGGTACGTGTCCAACCAGTCTTAGGACTGATGACCTTATGATGATGAGATGGTGTGAGTTAATCAATTTTTAGGATTATCACACAATTGTAGTGTAATGTAAAACACATTAAACTAGTTCACGTCAGAAGCCATTTCATTTACAATCTCCCTGCGTTTTGTCCTCAGATGGGGATTCCTCTGGGGTAGTTCAGTACATACGTAAGGCAGAAGAATTACAAGCAAGCTACGTAAGCGATCTGAAATAAAAAAATATCCCAAAAATGAAGGCATTTAATGTGAAAATTAGCAGGAAATCTCATTTATAAATTGTGGAAATTGGAAAAAATTATTAATTTCTAATGATATTTGTAGGATCCTTTTTATATTTCAATTTTAGAATACCTTTTAATTTACTTACAACTAACGAATTTTAACCAAGTTGGCGTTTACTACATGGAGCTTTAGAAAGATTTGTATCTGCAGAGTTTATTTGTCTTGACTTACATTTTCTGCTTTCATTTCAGGAACAAGAATTGGACAAGCGTCAGAATGTTTCGTCTATTGGAAAGATCCTATGACAAATGATACATGGGGACTGAATTTCACATCCCCTATTGATGCCAAACAGTTTAGGGAGTGCTGCGTACGTAAAAATTTTCCAATATCAGCATGACTGCTGGATGGCGCTGCTTTCAAATAAAATGAAAACTTCGGGAGATACGATCGCGTTACACTTTGGGTAAAATTGTTGCCAGACTATGAAATCAAGGGCACTTACAGAATCTGGGGTAGAGGGGGGGGCTGATGAAATGCAAATACAAACAAGAAGGTTCGATTCCGGGCCCGTCTGCTTTGGTTCAAGGTTTTCTGTGGTTCTCTTGGATCACTTATTGTTGAGGCAAATGTTGGAGCAGTAATATTCCACAGATAATTTTCCTGTCTTCATTTCTTCCGTCTCATCTTTCTCACCCCAACCACCATCCACCTATTTCCACACTTTAGGAGCTGGTAGGAATGAGTTGTAGTTTTTGATATAAGGTGGAGAGTTGAAAGAACATTAATAAAATTTAAAATAGTTGAGAAAATGAAAAAATTAGATTCATATTCAGGAAATAGATCTGAAATTTCCATTTAATTTGCTTTTCGCGTATTATCATCACGAAACTGGTTGGACACATACCTCAACTTCTTCCTTTTCTGAGCCAACGTTCGCATTTATCGAAAAATAGAACATCCCACGTCTTTAAATATATATTTAGGACTTCTCCTTCCCCCTTTAACTCCTGTTGTTGCTTCTAATTTATCTCCAACTAGCCCTTCATGTCTCAAAAGGTGTCCTCCCATTCTATCTTTTCCTTTCCTTATTAACTATCATAGAACACCCTGTTCTATAAGTTTTTCCAATATACTTCCTCATTTACAACGTTTCCCAATGTATGTTCTATGTTTCGCACCCATATACAGTCGTGCTTCAAACATACACTTTCATACAATCTTTTTAGAACCAGTTGCTCATTATAAAATACCAACCAGAATACATAATTCTATTTATTTAAATGTATCAAAATTGCTTATATCACTCTGAAGCTTATTACAACAAAAGATTTTATTCTAAAGGTCCCCAATCCCACGTCTTTCAATATATATTTTCGAACAGTAATCTTATGTAGGATGTTCCCCTTTCTTTTTTTACTCTTGTTACTTCATGTCTCAAAAGATGTCCTTTTCTTTACCTTATAGAATCCCCTGTTCTCCAATATGTTCTTCCAATATTTTCTCATTCCTAATCTTTCCCAACGTCTAAATTTCGCACCCATACAGAATCGCGTTCAAACATACACTTTTACACAATTGTTTTCGAATCAATTGTTCAATAATAAAAATTAAATAATGCCAATTCTACCAACTAGAATACATAATTCTATTTATGTATCTTGTTGGGTTGTGTGCATATGGTGGGAGCTAAAAATCCTCACTCTGACGGTTATAACCATTATTTGAAATTAAGAAATACTGAAAAAACTTAATGCAAACAATAAATAGTACTTATACAAATTATACATACATGTATTTGCCTGATGTTTCTAACAGGAAATGCGTATTTGTCGACTTTTCTGTTTTTAATTTTTCGGCTACGTGAGTAACAATATTCTAAATAACAATAGTAACCAATTAGAACATTAAGCTGTGTTACCTACCATAGCTTGTAGCAAAAAGAGATGCCTTCGCATGTATTACTTTGATTTAGTTATTAAATGTGTTTTTAGGTGTTTGAAATAGTAATAGTAGCACGTTTTTAAATTATTACTTTATTTGTTTCTATAGTAGGTAGATAGCTCTCTAATTTCTACTCATTGTCTTTGGTTTCAGTTTAAATTAATTTTTCTAAAATATTTTCTATCATCAAAATTTTACTTTCCTAAATCGAAAAGGACTTTGCCAAACTCACAATTCCTACTGGTAAATTCTGTCGGAAGTGTCTATGGCGTGCTAATGAGACCCAAAGAGTTCGAAGTCCAAATTCACGTCTTAACATCTTCGATAAATCGTTGATCACGAACTTAATATTGTTAAATTAAAATGAAACTTGTCAAACATTAATAAACTCACTATTAGTGGTAAATCTCTAAGGGTGGCGAACCCTTTTAGTATGCCGTGTAAAGTTATTTATCATCTTTCTGTTAAATTGTCATTTATTTGTAATTGATATTGATCCTTTTTTTTTAAACTGTTGCATTATTTTGCATTACCATTTGTTTAAAAGACACACATGAATGCAGTATTTTAAAAGAAATTATTGTGCATGCATGCATAATGCTCGTGTTATTTAATTAGTGTTATTAATTATGGATTGCTTTAGATTAAGAATGAAGACTTAGGTATTTTCGTTAGTGTTCTAAACTCCATTATTATTAACAGTGTGATCAATTGCAGTCGCCTTCTTTCAAGTTTTCGCGGAAGGCGTCGTCTTCCTACTCATTAAAGCTGGAGCCTCCCAGTAAACAGAAGTTCAAGGCAAAGCGCAAACCCCTAAGCACCCCCGCATCGCCGAGTCGCGCTTCGTCAGGCAGGGAGCCCCAATGTACTTGCATGACCGCTGAACAATATGCTAGATTAAAGGCTCAGGATCCTCGGTATAGAGGTAATAAATTAATCTTTTACCATCATTAACCGTAATTACCCAAATATTGTGTTGTGTAGCATCGCAAAGAAGGAACTTCTGATATATTTTTATAAACAAATTTTCTGCAAAAACAAATATTTTCATGTTCGGAGATTGTTTTCGGTTTCTGTTTTCGAAAGAAACGAAAGATGTTTGACTAATTTGTTTATTGTTTTATATAATTCGTAACTTTGATGATAAATTACGAACCTGTTGCAAATAAAGAGACGAACTCGCGGAAAATAAATGCTACGAAATAAATTACCATTAGCTGTGATATTTCGTTCAGTTAGTTACGCTCTGAATACAAATAAGATAACAAATTCGTACTACATAAAATCCCTTATTTTAGTTGTTCGTAGTTGGTACTCAGGACGAGTATAGTTGCAAGAAATCTTTCTTCTTACTCTTCATTACCGTCACGTACAATTTATAAATGATTGCCGCAGCTACAGTAACATAGGTATTTAAGGATCTAGAGATGTGATTTATTTGCAGGATCTTCCACTTTACCGAGGGCCCAGACGAGATCGACTGACACCGAAACAAGAACTGAAAAGGTTACAGCCGCTACATCTTCGACGAGCCTTTACGATAATGTTGGTGCTACAACACAGACTGTTACCACACAAGGTTCGAACATGATCCTTTTATCAAAAATTTTATTTTCATTCTTACTACTCACACAACAATTAAAAGTCTCAAACTTACATATGTTCACAAGTGCATGTTAGCGAGACGAATTTGCTGAATTTTCAACTAATTAATAAAAAAACAACAGTTAAAACCCTAGACAAAAATTTTCAGTCTCTCTCCAGTCTGTCGGAATATTTCAGCGTCTCTGAGAGCATCTCTCACAGTCTCTCAGTTATTGCCTAGGTGTTTTTATGGATTTCTCACAGTCTCTGTATGAGAGACTCGAACGATAAAATTGTTAATTCAGAGATTCGAGTCTCTCACAGAGAGACTGAATGAATAGAACTGAAAAATTGAGAGACTCGAGTCTCTTGTAGAAAGACTGGGATCTCTGAAATATGTTGAAGTTGAATTTTAACCATGTCTATCGAGACACCACTTATTGAGAGATTCGAGTGTCTCGTTCAGAGATTCGAGCCTCTCGTTCACAGACTGGATACGAAATGAGGATCTCTCTATGAGCGACTCGAGTCTCTCGTTTAGAGACGCTAAACAGTTTTTTTCGACATCTCTTGACAGTCTCTCTCAGCGACACCAGAGAGACTCGATGAGAGAGGGAGACTCGGGTCTCACTTTCAAAGACATTTTTATCTTGGGAAGAATAAATACACGATACTATTTTGTCTATTTTTTTTGGTTTGCCAACCTCTTCAGGCAAATATTCATCGTGGAAAATAGATACGCTAACATTGTATATTTATTCTTCTATAGATCTGGTTCTCTATTGACCAGCTGAGAATTCAGCAAATTTCATCTCATGGACATTACTTTTTCATTCATAACATTAGCAATTTTATGTTGTGGTCTACAAAATCCGAATGTAAATTTTGTTTTAACTTTAGTAGATACTTATAACATACAAGTGTATTTATATGCTAAAATTAATTATAATAAAACTTTATATACGTTTTTATGTGCAAAATTGTTGTAACCACATTTCGCTTCTTGAATAATTATTCATAGTGAGTACTTCCTCACGTATGTATTTGGCCTTTTCATGAATGTTAATTACCACTAGCAAAAGTGTTGCTGATGTTGTTTGAAATCCATTATTGTTCATTTAATGCTGCTATAATGCACTCTGTTTTTTTTATTTCCCTTTTTTCCTTGAAAGTAGCTTCAACAAAACCTGCTCAAAGGGAAGGAAGCCAGATAAAGCAGACTCGGGATCGCGGCGTGCCTCAGCAGTCCCAAGAGACGAGCACAATGACGTCAAATACCGCTACAGGACCAAAGACTGTCACCGCATCAATAGGAACTCAAAATAATGTAGGTTCACAGGTGAGACTTTGCAATAGGTGCAGGAGGGAATTTTTGCATCGAATTTTTCTTTTGTAATACGTAACGAATGATATTTCATAACCCCTGCTTTGGCCACTTCTATTAGAAAAACACAATACCTTAACGCCCTTTATCGATTACAAACTTAATTAAATTTCATCAAAACGTGATGCTGCCATGACTTTTTCCAAACTTTTTACGCTTTTCTACTTGGAAATTATAATTAGTGATGAGCTAAGCAAGATCAAAGCCAAAACTATCCTAGTCTTGGTATTCCCTAGACAAAAATTTTCATTCTGTCTCCAGTCTCTCAGAATCTTTAAGCGTCTCTGAGAGCGTCTCTCACTATCTTTCACAGTCTCTCAGTTATTGCCTAAATTGATAATTCAGAGATTCGAGTCTCTCACAGAGAGATTAAATGAATAAAACTGAAAAATTGAGAGACTCCAGTCTCTCGTAGAAAGACTGGGATCTCTGAAATATGATGAACTTGTTGAAAATTTTAAACATGTCTATCAAGACACCACTTATTGAGAAATTCGAGTCTCTCGTTCAGAGACTGGATACGAAATGAGGATCACTCTATGAGCGACTCGAGTCTCTCGTTCAGAGACGCTAAACAGTTTTTTTGACAGTCTCTCGACAGTCTCTCTCAGCGACATCAGAGAAACTCGATGAGAGACTCGAATTTCGCTTTCAGAGACTCTGAGAGACTGAACATTTTTATTTCGAGTTGGTCTTGGTCTTACTTATTTGGTGTTGACTTAAGTGTTCTAGCCTTGGTTTTGGTCTTGGTCTTCCTAATATAGCCTTGATCTTGGTCTTGACCTTCCTCATTACCAAAACTATAACACTGGAAGACCAAAACAAATTTTGCAATCACTGATTGTAATGGTAAATTTTTCATAAACTATCATTACTGCAGTATCATTAAAAATACCGACTAAAAAGTACATCCAGGGAGTCATTCAATTTTATTTTTCGTCCGTGCTTTTAACTGGTTCTATCATTTTTCATTTCCCTGAATCCACTGTATACGAAATCTTGCGTCTCGTTCTATAATAATCTGTTGATGATTTTTTCTTCCTGTTGCTCGGTTCATCTGTTGTATTCTTTTAAGGCTGCTCAAACTGAAAGTCCTCCCCAAACCCAGTCTACCGAAACAGAAAAGTCAAAATCGGAAGCAATCCAAGCCGGAGGTACTCTACAACCTCCAACCACCCGAACCTCTTCCACTTCCACGAGACAGCCACTGAGAGAAAACGTCCACCATGTGCTTACCAATACCCGATCTGTGGATTATCCTGACATGGACGTCATCAGGGATGCGGAATTGCGAGCAGCTCATCAAAATATGTTGAACAACAACAGCGATAACATAACCAACAGGAGAAACAAATCAAAGAGTACCGAAGACATGAATAGGGAGAGTGGAATGAATTTGGATAGTAGCACGTTGAAAAGAATGCTTAAACCCATGCCTAGTATAGAGAGTCCTGTGACGTCTCCGGAAGTTGGAAGGAAACGATATGGGTATTACAACACTTACCATCATCGTCATCCAGTAAGCAATGGGAGATACTCTGAACCAGAGTCCACTAGACCTCATCCACGTTCTGCCATGTCACAGACCTCTCGGTTTTCAGGATCAAGGTTAGTTCTAAAGATTCAGTGCATTTTTTGCAAAATTAATTCTGTCTCAAAAGAGCCCAAAACTCAAATGGTCTTAAGATAAATATAATATCTAATCTTTATTGAATAATTTTCATAATCCATTGATTCAATGGTTCAATTGTTTTATAGATCGTCCCATGAAATAGGTCGCGGTTACCCGGGACGTGGCTTATACTTAGAGTTGGAACGCAGTGGTGGAGGCGGTGGGGGTCCCCCTGGAGATTTGTCACCACCCTCAGACAACGTCATCTTTGATAACCAGTGCTACGCCACAACGCCCAGTTCGAGCAATGGTAATTCTGATCCTGAGCAACACTATCACGGACAACGTGGTCCTAGGGGACATCAGCATCATCACCAGGTCAGTAACAAACTCATTTAACCATAACCCGAGATAAAAATGTTCAGTCTCTCAGAGTCTGTAGAAGCGAGACTTGAGTCTCCGTCTCTCATCTAGTCTCTGGTGTCGCTGAGAGAGACTGTCAAAAAAACCGTTTAGCGTCTCTGAACGAGAGACTCGAGTCGCTCATAGAGAGATCCTCATTTCGTATCCAATCTCTGAACGAGAGACTCCAATCTCTCAATAAGTGGTGTCTCGATAGACATGGTTAAAATTTTCTAGGTTCAACATATTTCAGAGATCCCAGTCTTTCTACGAGAGACTCGAGTCTCTCAATTTTTCAGTTTTATTCATTCAGTCTCTCTGTGAGAGACTCGAATCTCTGAATTAACAATTTTATCGTTCGAGTCTCTCATACAGAGACTGTGAGAGATCCATAAAAACACCTAGGCAATAACTGAGAGACTGTGAAAGACTGCGAGAGACGCTCTCAGAGACGCTGAAAGACTCTGAGAGACTGGAGAGAGACTGAAAATTTTTTCTAAGGAAACTAATACTTAATTCCAAATTGATACGCGACATTAGCTTGATTAGTTTCCCCAAGATTATTTTACGAGGATTGATAATATAGGGTAGCGATTTTTACCGAAAAATATAAATTTTTAAATTAATTTTAATAGAAATCTGAAGAATAAAATGATAAAAAATAATTCTTTGTTCTAATTAAATTCAATATTGGTTGTAACTTGTAAGTATAATGCGGTGCCTGTTAATTGGAAAATATCTTTTACTTCAAGCCGCTCGAAAGGGCAAATGCTTTTATGTAATGAGAAGTTTAAAAGGGTAAATAACCCTAATGAATGTATGTCCAACAAAAGCAGTAGAGGTATAAATCCTGTAGAAAAGAATGGCACAGAGCCAACTAGGTAATTCATCTAGAAAAACTTTTTACTGAATTTGCTCGCTGGTGATGAAGATAATTTCACTAAAATCAGTGAACCACAGACGCGATAGCACTACGTTCAGTTTTTATGAAAAATCTACGATGTAATCGGGAGGGCAAAGTAGGTACATCTAATTGAAATTTAGAATGAGAGGTAATAGAGAATCCACATTATTATCATAGAAGAAAAGTAGCGTAAAACACTTGTCTTATCTACAATTCTAAGTAATTTGATATATAACCATTTTCGATAAATCTCATAAATCTAGAGTATCTGACCCATTAGCAACCAAGAGATTTATAGATTAAGATTTTTGTATCCCTCAGAAACAGTATTTTTTCCTGGATAACCCCTGACAATATGTCTACAAAATGTCATGATGATCGGTTGACTTGTTAAGGACTTGTCAAGGTACGAAATCGAATACATAAAACTATTTCTTTTTATCCCTCGGGAACAGCATTTTTGTCTTGATAAAAGGTACCCTATGTTCTTTTCTGTATCCTTGACAATATGTGGATAAAATATCATGATGATCTGCTAAACAGTTAAGAACAAACAAACTCATATTCTCATTTATAATGTCAGTTAAGATTACATTTTAAAAAGTTTTTAAACTTTCTTATTGCATACTGCTGTTAATAGTTGTAGAATCGTATGTGCTTTAGTACATATGAGCAATGAATGTTATTTTTTTAATTTGCACATTTTGCCTTAAGTTTTAGAAAAGTTGGTTTGAATGTTTAAATTCAAAAAAGGCATAATTCTTTCATTTCTGGGTATATTGCTCAAGAAGCTGACGGGGGTGTGCGCAATTTAGAAAAAATCAAACCCTTAGATTTTCATAAATCATGAAAAATTGTAAAATATAATTGTCTGGATGGTCTTGAGTTCCGTAATTCCCTGTATATAAATTATATTAATTGTTGATATGTAGGGGTACAATCTCTGCCAAAATTTTTACATCAAATTACTTTTACTTATTTTTGGAATCACGTGATTTATTTTTATATACTGATTTATCATGTATAGGTAATTTTTATTTCTTAGACGGTTATATTTTTAATCGAAAAAAAAGAAAACAGAGAATATTGTGTTATTTAATTACTTTTAATATTTATGCCTTTTGTTTTCTAGCGTAACTTTTGTGCATAATTTTCAATTTCCTAATGGTAAATTCAGTAGCTGAAATCAATGAAAGTATCCCGCTATTTTTTTAAAATTCGGTAGCTGACGTAATCGTACTTATTTACTACATTATTTGTCTTATATTTGTATGATAAACGAGCATGTTTTCTCTTGTTTTCCACCACTCCGAATCCTTTCACATTCCAAATGTCCGATTCACCTCGGCCGTTACCGAATTATCGCGATAGGATTCATCGATGTCGTAAACAACACGAGAATAGCTTCTTTTATGAGTCGTTTATTTCTGCGATATAAATTCATTGCAAGATTAGTAGTTAAAACAATTTCTGTTATGGAGAAAACGCCTCAAAAGTAAGTTTAGTTTTTTATACTGCATTTGAATAGACTTATTTACGGTTATGAGTAATTGGCTTCATAGTTTAGGTATCGATCAGGATAATATCAAAAGCTTTAGATTTAATCTGGAAGCTTTGAGGAATAGGTGTCACAGAGAGGGGATATACTTTTCGCGTGCGTGCTGTTTAACTCTTTAATTCTATTTACCTACAGTTTCGCGAGTCTTATTTACTTGTTATTTATAGGAAAAACACTCATGAAGTATATTTTGCTATATTTTATGCAAAATATACGCTAATACGTTAGGTTAAGTAAGGTTTTTCACTTATTTAAACATCATTTATCCTATCTTTTTCTAGAGAGACGCGTTCTTTTTTATATTATTGGTTTTTTGGTGGGGTGGGTCTAACTTTTTTTTTGCTATTTTCCGCACTTTGTTATATATGTATTATATCAAATGCATAACTAACCTACTTTTATTTTCATTAAATAATTGGGATAATGTTTCGCGAAACTTGAAGCCGTTATATGTTGCTTTCTCTCCAGAAAATTTGTTAATTTTTGATGACCTAAACTGATGTCACCTATCCACATAAGAAACTTGGATATCACTGAAAATATTTACTAATATTATAAAGATATAATAATAAAGGTTAATTTCTAAGTTTATTGGATCGACTAGGAAAGTTATTTTGATGTTAGCAACTTATTAGAACTCATATGTAGATTTTGTTAAATTTCCTATCTTTTCCTTTCTAAATAAGTACTTATATATTTCCCTGGTCAACAAAGGACATTTTCAGTAATTAATCAAAGGTTTATTATAGAACTATCTGATTATACCTAATTAGATACAAACCCATCTACAGATTGTACAGACGTTTTAAAATATAACAGTTTATATCTCAAGCCATTCACATTTGCAGTTTCGCACTTATGACTCCAATGGCGGTAACTTTTGTTTAATATTGGACAAGATTTTTGTAGTTAGGTTAATTTCTTTATAACAAATTGCTGCAGGAAATCCACTGATTTTTCAAAACATTATCGTTAGAACAGACGTATCTGAAGCGTTATGAAGCGGTAAATTGCTGATCAACAACTTAATGAGACAATCACATATCGTTAGACTTTTATGAGCTTTTTAAAGCTGTTTAAATTTAACAAAAACAATGTAGGACCTTTCAAGTGAAATTAATTTTTTTTACAATAATATCTATTTTTATTAACCCAAATCGTTATTAGGTATAAGTCTGCCGGGAACGAAAATCGATCTCGATGATATTAATTTATTTTTTTTTGGTCTTTTTTAAGCGTCAATTTCGTTTTCAGAATGCGACCGAAATGCCAACACCCGGATCGCCAACAAGCAGGTTACTATTGGAGTACGAAATGCATCTCCGAAATACCCTGGCGAAGGGGATGGACGCTGAAAGCTACAGTCTGCACACGTTTGAAGCGCTTTTGACACAAAGCATGGAAAATCTAGGTACGTGTGTCATTATAGTTTTATGTTTTGTTTTCTTAAACATTTCCAAAATACCGTGAGATGTTCTAAGTAATATCTGTCGTAAGTGTTGGTTCTCGGCTTCCACATCTCCCTGATTTCTCCACCTAATTAATGGGTGAAACGTTGGGATTATATATTCATTACCTAAAGTAGTTGAGACTGGTTGTTCTATTAAATCTCAGCATCAATTTTGGTCTTAAATATTCGATAGTTTAATATGTGGATAAAATATCATGATGATCTGCTAAACAGTTAAGAACAAACAAACTCATATTCTCATTTATAATGTCAGTTAAGATTACATTTTAAAAAGTTTTTAAACTTTCTTATTGCATACTGCTGTTAATAGTTGTAGAATCGTATGTGCTTTAGTACATATGAGCAATGAATGTTATTTTTTTAATTTGCACATTTTGCCTTAAGTTTTAGAAAAGTTGGTTTGAATGTTTAAATTCAAAAAAGGCATAATTCTTTCATTTCTGGGTATATTGCTCAAGAAGCTGACGGGGGTGTGCGCAATTTAGAAAAAATCAAACCCTTAGATTTTCATAAATCATGAAAAATTGTAAAATATAATTGTCTGGATAGTCTTGAGTTCCGTAATTCCCTGTATATAAATTATATTAATTGTTGATATGTAGGGGTACAATCTCTGCCAAAATTTTTACATCAAATTACTTTTACTTATTTTTGGAATCACGTGATTTATTTTTATATACTGATTTATCATGTATAGGTAATTTTTATTTCTTAGACGGTTATATTTTTAATCGAAAAAAAAGAAAACAGAGAATATTGTGTTATTTAATTNAAGCCCGTAGGTACGTGTCCAACCAGTCTTAGGACTGACGACCCTGTGATGATGATGATGATGATGATTTACTTATTTATTTATTTAATTTAATAACAGGCGTTTATGAAAAATAAAATTTCCTTATAATATTTTGTTCTTAAAAATGTCAAATATGGTTACCTACAGTTTATCAGCAGGTGTACAAAGTAGAGAACAGTTGCACATTATTTTATTTAATTAACAATAAATGCGCCTTTTTTTACTCATGTGCTAATGTAATAGTTTGTTCCTTCATTTCGTATTTTTCTTACAAGTTCCACTCGATAACGAGACCGTGATTCAAAATATAACAACACGACAGCATTCATTAACCCACATCTCGTTTATGTATCTGAAGCATTTCCATGGAAACATGTTTCAAACTGGATAACTGCACGGAGTTGCGTCAAAATTTGTTAGCGTTGGTACATTTAATATAATAACGTGCATGAAATGGTGGCAATAAGCGCCCCAGTAACTATACTCTCATTCACTTAGTCGTCGTTGCAACACTTCTAAAGCGAAATTCTCAATCTAATCAATAAAACTGAATTGAACCAAACATTGCGTTCGTCATATTGCATAATTCTCTTACTTTATTTTCAGAATTCGCGGAGAGTTTGCCGGGTTCCAATCAGAGAAGTCCTTATCCGACTAGAAAAGGTGAGTGTTGTTTGAAAGTTTGAAAATATTGTTTGCAAAATCAGCACCCGATAACTGGTTGAATAGTACCTACTGCAATGTCAATAAAAATTTTATTTTTCCTGTTATCGATGTTGAAAACTATAAAATCTTACCTCCTAATTTGGACTTGATTTTTTTGAAATAGAAATAAAAATTAAGGCTGTACTTCTTACAAACTGTGCCTGGTAAATACATGTGACATAGAGACAGATGAACGAATACCTAACTCATATTATTTAATATTTTCCAGACGGAAGTCTATTAAAGGAAATATAGACAAATTTTCTAGCAAAAGTTGAATTTTTACTTTAAAAGTACAATTCTCTTGAAACCACATTCAGTATAACATGTTTCTTTTTAAAATTTGATTTCCTAATTTTCGATTTTGATAGTAAATTATTCCACTCTAGTTTAGACCAAATAAATACGTCGACTTGTATGTTCCGTATATTTTTAGGATATTTATATTATATATTGGTTATTATTTCAGGTCACAGACTAGATCGTTCGTCTAGTATAGGACGAGAACGAGAGAGAGATAGAGACAGAGACGGTTATTATAGTGATAGAAATGAACTTCTAAGAGAAAGGGAGAAAGAAAGAGAAAGAGAACGTGGATATCTTAGTGACCACAATACTAGGTGAGTAATAATAAATGATACGATTATTAATGGCTAATTAGAAAATTCATAAAGATCTGGAATTTATAAATTGATTTGCGGTTCTTTCAATAAGTGTTATATTGGACAGACAGGTAGAGCTTTTAAGACCAGAATAAAAGAGCATCATAAATATTTTACAAATAAAAGAAAATGGTAATTATTTTAACTATTGACTAGAAATAAACGACTTGTTTAGACGAAAAGGTGCAAAATTTCTACTTCTAAGTAGTTCACCATTCCTGAGTTTTCAAAAAAATCATATGAAGGAAAATGATAATTAACAAGGATAATATAGTGTCATGTGCATCCATCCGGGCTTTTATTCTGTGGATAGATAGACATCATTAAAAAAATAAGGGTTTAAAGAGTTTAAGGTCAATCTGTTTGAACTTCTTCCAATTCTTTCCACGCAGAGGTTTCTAGATTTTCAATGGAACCTTAGTTTGGTTCTGAAATTTTTACTAAACGTTGCTCTTTTCCTTTAGAAACCCCTATTGCAATAACAATTTTACTAAAGAAATGTTAATATTTATGGATATCTTTCTATATATATTTTATCTTGTTTTAGCTACAGCTCACGATGCGCTTCCTGTATTGGAGAATCGAGCAGAGCTCAGTGGTTCCGGCATTCTGATGGTTGGAGGTCTGGCAGCTCCACATACAGTTCAACCCAGGGTTTCCCCCAACCTCCCACTGGTCATAAGAGATCCGCATGGGATTCTCTTCCATCCCTTCGACAAGACAGCAGCTTAAATGATAGCGGTTACAAGAGTGGAAGGACCGATTCTTTTGAACAACGGTAAGTGGCAATACGTATTAGAAGTTTGATGTGAACCGACGAAATTAAAGCGTTGCTGTACCTAAACAAATTCGCTTGGAGTTAGATTAGGGATGAGGAGATTCATATCTGTATATAATATAATTCAATTTAATTCTTGTGCCAAATGCATTCTTGACGGTTAAAGGTTATTTGTACTTTGAAAAATTCTATAAATACTTTTGATTAACTAAAAAGGTTTTACCGTTTTGGGTTAAATTAATTTTTTTTTGTTTAAACATTTTTCTTCTCTATACAAGACTTTGGAACTATTATTTCGGATTTAAATAGATCAGTCAATATTTTCGTTAATATCTTCTGATCTCCGTTTGTCCACCCCACAATGCAGATTCAGTAAATTTACGCAGATTTTCGGATTTCTATATCAGAAATAGCTATTAATAAATGATGATTATGTAAATAATAAAATAGCAATGAATGAAACCTCTGGATAACGACTATCATCAAAAGGTATAATTCTTTCTAACGATTTTTATTTTTTTACTAAGTGATTCAGTTATTTATTTATGGAAGTCAATAAAAAATAGGCGAAATAGGTTGGTAGGGCATTTTCTGAGCCATGAAGGTCTAGTCAGAGCATATTAGAGGCAGAAACAGGAGTTAGGAGGTGTAGAGGTAGACCTAGATTAGATTACTGTTCGCAAATAGTTAAGGATGCGGTATGTTCTAGTTTTAGGGAAATGCGAAGATTGGGTAAGGATAGGAAAGAGTGGAGGTCCGTGTCCAACCAGTCTCAGGACTGACGACCTTATGATGATGATGATGATTCAGATATTTATTCTCTAATGCTAATAGAAGCTACTAATTAATTAATTAATCTAGTAATTCAAAAAGAATTCATTGATAGAAAAATTAAACTAATAACTTATGAGGTTTACATTCTTGTTTTTAAAATAATAAGTATCCTTAATAAAGGGGGTTCAAATTTAATTTAAAAGTCAATCATGTAATGTCATATCCTTAAAAGAACTTTAAAAATTACTATAAACAGAAATAAATCCCAAGTTTTAGAAGGTGTAAACTAGATGCAATAAAGAATCGTACGGTGTGCAGTGTTGTTAAGGGCCAATTTTTATTGAAAAAAATCACAATTATTTACAATCCTAAGGCGATCCTAATAGTGAATTTGCAACATACGTAGTTTATAAAAAACTCTGCAGCTACATGGATGGGAGAATGTAAACATTATCAATAATCGAACGTCTAAGATAAACATAAACAATTTAGTACTAAAGATAATGTTTAGACTAAAAAAATTAAATAAGTACATTAAAGGCAACACTACGTAAATGTATGAACACAAAAGTAAAAAAAAATGTAAGTAATTTATGTTACGTAAACATTAAAACATTAGTCGGTAAATGATTATCATTTGGGTTATTGTAATTTTATTAAGGCAAATTTCCACACCACCATTGGGGTATTGTCAAGACGCGTTACCGTTTTTACGGGTGGTTGTAAGTAAACTTACCAAAAAAATTAAATAAGTCTTACCAATAGTGATTATTGTGAAAATTCAAAATTTCCTTTCGCATGAAGAAAATTTGTCTTTAAATAACACGCTAATGCAGAATGAATTAGGGTATACTCCGCTCGCGGCTGAAAATCAGTTTCAAGCAAGGCTGAATGACACTTAATCTAATCTGACAAGTAAACAATACATAAAGTAAAGAAATATAAAGTAAACACTAAACTCCTGCTGGTAATCACTAGCTGATTGAGTGCAGCGTTGCGGGTCGTATTTCTCCACCAGGACCGGAATTGATTTTACCTGTATTTTCTACTAGGTTTTTCTCGAAAACGATGACACTTCGGACATACAAACACTTACATAATTTTCATGTCTTATAGTGTCGTATCTCCTCCTGCAAGCTCGTTACTTGTTTCTGTTACACCCTGTATACGTGTTTGGTGACAACCCGTAGGAAAAATTTCTATTGAAGTTCAATGGGAATCAATGGAAAATTTGTAAATTCCTTTCAAAACCATTTGGCATAAATGGAAAAATAATTGTTTCCATTTACAATATAATTCCATTAATATTTAGATAGGAAAAATTTCCATTGATTTTCAATGGGAACCAATGCAAAATGTACAAATTCTACATAAAACCATTCATAAATAAATAGATAGATAAATAGAAAATCAATTGTTTCCATTTTGAATAATTCCATTAATATTCTTATCGTTAGATATGAATGGAAAAGTTTTATTTCCCAAAGAAATAATTAATTATGAAATGAAATTATGAATTATTTATAAAATCTGTTTCGTTACAACGCAATGGAATTTCCATTGAGTTCAGCAATGGGACTTCCATGGTAATGCCATTGCGTTCAGCAATGGAAATCATATTGAGTTCTGGAATGGGAATCCCATTGGCAATTCTCCATTTATTACCATTAATTATTATCAGTGGTAATTAAAAGGCAGTTTTTTAATGGAAATTGAATGGAAATTTTTCCTACAGGAACTTTATTACGAAGGACCTGATAACAATTTGATTAGCATTTATTATTTGCAATTTCTTGACATAAAATTAGCAATCAAATAGGCAAATTTGAATTTCTGCAGTGCAATTTTGTTTGTGAGAATTCGCTTCTGTTGTAAATAGAGACCAATTACGATTTGATTGATTTCTGTCGCCTAACATGATTAATGTTTGCCCGCTGAATGCAAACTAATTGCCGCTGTTTACTGATGCGTTCGGTTATTGACAAGTTGTTGAAATTACCTTCGGATATTTTTCATTATTATCTTCGCCGCAAGCAATAGAATATGGGGTTGGTTGATTGTTGGGTACTTAATAACAATTTGAAACATTTTGTGAAACGTTCCTCTAAAAATTAATAACATTCCTCGTTGGTTCTACGTCAATACATACATATGTACTTTACGAAATTGGCATATTTTCCAGTCTAGTTATAAGTGAGCAAACTCGAGCAAATGTGAACAAACGAGCCACATGTCACATACTCATTTACATAGTAGGTAATAGTAAATGCGGGATTTTAACATGGTTGCTATGTCTGTGAATAGATATCTGGTATAATCCTCACGACTTAATAAAAGTATACCGGATGGATCATAAATAATGAGATAAAAATATTCAGACACATACGCTTTTGTAAAATCTTGTCAGTTAAAGAGATAGCTACTTAAATTTGAAAAATGAGATAAAAATATTCAGACACATACGCTTTTGTAAAATCTTGTCAGTTAAAGAGATAGCTAGTTAAATTTGAAAAATTCGACAAAACATTTTCCAAATATTTATAAACTGTAACCTGCGCACATTGCTAGCCCCCCCCCCCAACTAAAATAAATTTGAAGGAAAGACATTACACAAATATTCAATTCATTTTGAATCATTTTATTGATTTTGTTCATTTCGAAAAACACACAACAACTTTGCTAAAGATCATCACATGATCAAATGCATAGTTTACGATTCTATAAAGGACATACAGACAAACATTCATTTTTATATACAGTGTAAACTCTTTATAACGTCACTCGATTTAACGACAAACTCCTTAAAACGTCGAAATTGCTTGACTTTGGTTGGTTTACATTATTTTCTGTACAATATTACACTCTATATAGCGTCACGCTCACTCTATTTAACGACAACAATGCGGTATTATAAATCATTGAGCAGTACATTCTAAGTTACCGAAATAGATAACAACTGCAGCTGTGTACGTTGTTGGAGAAGACGATCCTCTCCCTCCACCAAGCATCAAACAAGCACTTGATGCAGCGAAACTATTAAAAAAATACTTTTTATATAATCAAATTGATCCAGCAGTATCTCAAGATATGAGTAAGATACGTAACAAAATACAATTAAAATATTGGAGCAGCAAAAAACATC